AATCAAAACCTATTATTTAAAATAAATAAATGCATAAATAATTTATCAAATTTAGATAAAATAATAAATAATAATTACATTAATAAATAAAAAATTAATAAATAAACAAATACAAACAGATAAGAAAAAACTTCAACAACATTTACTCAATTTCGTTTATTAGACATGAAATTACATCACTTAGCATCTTCCATAGTTTGCCTTGACTTTCACAGTTAGCCGTATACATATTTTTGAGCATTCTTAATTTTATGAATTTTGAAAACCTAAGAATATTTTTAGTTCTGTTTATAAATATATGTTGCAAAATAGAACCCTAACATTTACCTGGATGGGAAAACGACAGATAATTTTTTATATATCAAGAACAATTTTAAGGAAAAGATATCACGTTACACCTGCAGTAACAATCACCTAGAACTAAGTGTCCATCGCAAATCAATTAATAAAAATGATCTCATAAATTTCTATTCTCACCATAACAACAAAATAAAATTCGGAATAATCATCGGATTCTATTTGAGCATTCGGAATATGAAGCTTTCAATATTTACATGAAGAAGAGAAAAACATTGAAAACTCAAGGTGCGATGGATAAATTGACGCAAAAATGAAAATAACACTGACATTTCATTTTAACAGATATATTTACCAAAATTACAAAAAATATCTTGAAATACCAAAGAGTAAATTTATTCAATAAAATCGCCATTGGCTTTACCCACGGCATCCAGATGACTTTGGAGTCTCCTGCGTGTCTTCTGAATAGTCCCACATTACCTTTTTATTCCATTGGTGAGATGTAAGTTCCACTCAAGCAGCTTCTTCCCACAAACTACTGCTTTGTGAAACCGACTCCCAAGAGGATGCTTCCCAGGTCACTAAAATCTTATTCTGTCTAGGGTTAACCGTTATCTTCAACAGATATCCTCATAAACTGTGCCTCTTTCTCTGTAAGCCTCTACAGAGTGAACATCAGTGTCAAAAAAAAAAAAAAATCAAAGTAAAAATCTTTCCGGAGAGCAACCCACTGAAAAATCTCGTTTCGGGATGATATATCTACAGGTTGCGATCGATAAATTGTCGTCTGAATGACGCAAAAAATGAAAACATCTCATTTTAACAGATATACAGGGTACGATGAATAAATTGTCGTCTAAATGACGTAAAAATGAAAATAACACTGACATCTCATTTTAACAGACATACAGGGTGCGATGGATAAATTGTCGTCTAAATGACGCAAAAATGAAAATAACAGACATCTCATTTTAACAGATATACAGGGTACGATGAATAAATTGTCGTCTAAATGACGTAAAAATGAAAACAACACTGACATCTCATTTTAACAGACATACAGGGTGCGATGGATAAATTGTCGTCTAAATGACGCAAAAATTAAAACAACACTGACATCTCATTTTAACAGATATACAGGGTGCGATGGATAAATTGTCGTCTAAATGACGCAAAAAAAAAATGAAAACAACACTGACAATTGTCTATTATTATGTATATTCACTAACTTATATATATATATATTAATGGCGTTATTAAGTACATTAACATTATTAATAAATATACATATTGAGGGAATATATATATATATATATATATATATATATATATGTGTGTGTGTGTGTGTGTGTGTGTGTGTGTGTGCATGTATTTAAGAAAAACAATAATCGTTCCTGGAACCAACTGACAACTTGCCAAAACTTAAAATCTTATCCAGATAAAGTCTCGAATAAAACAACAATAATGAAACGCAAGAGAAAAAAGCAAAGTATATATATATATATATATATATATATATATATATATATATATATATATATATATATATATATATATATATATTAAAGAAAAAGGACTTTATGTAAGAGCTTCAGGAAATAAAAGACAAAAAGGCATCTTTTTCTCTAATTTTATCTCATATTAACCTCTTTTGTTATCAATAACTTGACATATATATAACATTAATAAGGGCTTGGTTCGATCAAACCAGACGCCGAGGCTCTGTATATAAACTCAAGTGGACTCCTATTTTGTTTTATCGTTCTCGGGGACATTTTCAATCACCAATTATTTTAATCGCCTCGTCACTTCTATTCATGAGTTTATTTTATTTGAAAACTAAACTCCGATATAAAATTCAGTCGGAGATTTATGATTTTACTCTATTGTTTGCATAGCGCGACTTCACTTGGCGCGGGCGGCCTGATTACATATATATGTGGACTTTGGTGCACGTCAAGAAGAGAATTACTCAACTCGCAAAAAGGTGAGTTTAAAAAGAAAACACAGACCCAATTTTCCATTCTCGAAATTATTTCCTAAAATTTAACCAAATATCAGTCTTTGTTTTTGGAAGGTTTTCTTAATGGAACCTAAAACTTTTCAGTGCTTCCTCGTATTCATAGTTAGATGTCTTTAAATAATTTTCTTGATTTTTTTTTCTCTGTCTTCTTCTTCTTTGTGCTTCAGGACGTAGGCGATCATGGCTCTCCACAATTTCCTGTCATTGTAACAATAATAATAGTTTTGTCTTTTTGCTATCTCTCCTAAACCTCGCTCGCCATCCGTTCGCCCAAGCAGGCCAGCGAAATTATGCGTTGCTTTCCTCTGTTCCGCTTGCTGTCAACCTGTCTTTTTTGCTGCCATTGTCTCCAGAACTTCGTGTATGTTCAGCATCCTTCTGTAGAACCACATTTGTGTTGCTTCAAGTCTCTTCTTCATCTGTGATGAGATTGTTCAGTATTCATTTGCCATACAGAAAGACTCATATTACGTAACACATTTCAGTCCACTTCTCTTTGTTTCTAACGGTTTTTTCTGTTTCTTAAAACTTTTCTTTACGTTTTTTAATTCTACATTTTATAAACCAAATATTGAAATCACAAAAAACAAACAAAAAAAAAAACAAACAAACAAAAAAACCCCAGATAATATAGATTTCATACTAAATAAGCTGCAAAAATAATTGAATAAAAACATTAAAATAAAGTAAGTTAATATTTGTGTGTGTATTTTTAAAAATATTTTTTTTTTAAATCTATGGTTTTATTTCATAACATTTAAATGTATACCCTTTACAAATTTTGCTAAACTGTGCTGATATTTTCGTTTGCAGATATGTGCCAGTCTTGCTTAAAAAGGTTGTGAAAAGCTATTTTATTCTGGAGAAGGTTAAGTTTTAATCCTCTTGCTTGGTTTTCTACTAAGATCTTGAGTTTACTTCTTTCGTTCTTCTACATTTAGTCGTTGTGTCTGTGTGTTGGAGATTCTTTCAATTTGAGGAGGATCGAGGTATATATATATATATATTTATAGATAGATAGAGAAAAGAGAGAGAATTCAAGAATTCTCTCTAGATTTTCAAGATGCCATTCAATTCTCGGACGTAAAGTTTTCTGATTTATGTCGACATTCGTCCTGGTGGAGGGACATTGATAAATGTTCTCTTCTCACAAAACCATTCCTGTCATGAAAACCAGATGGCTATGTCGAAAATTTATCTTCTACCAGATATGACCCTTCCAAAAGTCCCTCCGGTCAGCTTCTGGGTTCAGACATTTTACTAACGTTAACTGAGGGGATAATTCACTAAATGAAGACGTTTTTTTTTTTTTTTTTTTTTGGTGGGGGTTGCATGCTAATCTTATCTCCGACAACTTCCTTGGCGATGAGAAGTGGGCTAAGGAAAATTCAGTTGTAGTGAATTTACTAAATCTTAAAGCTTTGTTTTGGGGTCAAATCCCACCGATTCCTTCCTCATAAGCATTTTATAGGATCTGGTTAATATTTCATCAGGTCTCAATCTGGTCAACTAATCTTCCATCAGTCAGTTTATGTGCCATGTGTGATACAGGCTTAGGCAATCATGTATCTTTCGATACATGACTGACGAGGCAGATTTTTTCCCGTAGTAGGTTGCCATTTCTTTCTGCGGTAGACCAGTTGCTATCCAGGGCTATAGAACCTGGTCTGTCCTGCTATTTACCCATACCTGGCGGGGAGTAGAAGAGGATTTATACCTTTCCCAAGGTTATTAGCACGTAAGTGAATGTAATGGATTCGACTGGAATTCGAACTCGGCTCTCCGATTCCTCAATCCGAGCCGCTATCCTTTATTCCAACTATTTTTCCAATTAGTATTTTTATTTCTTCACTTAAAATTCTTAACTCTTTCAATGTCTGATGTTATGCATTATTGTAACTCTATCATGGCCGCCGTCCTGTTAAACGAGACCCAAGGAACACTCAAGATCAAGGGTTGCCGAGTGAAATTATTGAAAGGGAGCGGGAAGGAGATTTGAAGAAGTTCATATTATGAGGATATGTAGGATAGATATCGGTTGTCCCTAGACATGAAGTGGTTAAGAGTGTAGTGGTCAGGGAAGCATCCACTCGAGAGTCTGTTCCACAAAGTAGCAGTACCGTGAAAGACGCTGCCTGAGTGCAACTTATTACTTACCATAGGAGAAGGTTGATTTACCACCGTGAGCATGACATGGGACGGTGGGGTTCTAGCAGTGAAGGTCTGAACTGGTGGGACTACGGAGTATAAATCGTTAGAATATTTGCCGTAGCAAAAGCGATAATTGAAAGGCTAGCAATGTTTCTTCTGTGGGGTAAGGGTCGCAGGGTGGGGTATAATTAATCCCTGCTTTTGAATTCTATCGAGACAAGACAGTGAGAATTGGGAAACTTCAACCCAGATATGACAGCAATACGCCATTTCTGGTTGCATCTGATACTTGTAAAGATAGGGCTTGGCAGGAGAAGGCAGGAATTACTAGAATGGTACAAAGAACCGACTATTCATCTTTTGAGATGGCACAAATATCAGAGTTCCATTTGAGGTCTGGGGTGAACTTTGGACTACGTAGGCGTTCAAGACAAGGAACCGTAAACAAATATCTACATCTATCTCGATGAATTATGATCAAATATATCATCTTCCAAGTAGCTTGGCTGGATAAACTGCATCACAGGTTTATCTATCTATCTATCTATCTATCTATCTATCTATCTATCTATCTATCTATCTCAGAAGTGTATATATATATATATATATATATATATATATATATATATCGATCATATTCGATCTATCTATCTATCTATCTATCTATCTATCTATCTATCTATTCTAGATACGAACAACACCAATAAGATATTAATTCAAAAATTCATCTATCTATTCATATCTATTCTAAATATCTATCTATCTATTTATCTATCTATCGATCGATCGATCGATCAATCTATCTCATAAAAACTTATATATATATATATCATTCTGTTCATATCTATCTATCTATCTATCTATCTATCTATCTATCTATCTATCTCCATGTTTGTATCTATCAATCGATCGATCTATACCTATCTCTTCCCATCTATCTATATATGAAATCTATCTATCTATCTATCTATCTATCTATCTATCTCATATTGTTGTTATATATATATATATATATGTATATATATATATATATATATATCAATCTGTTCCTATTTATCTATTTCAGTTTGTTCGTCTGTTTTTCTCAATATGTTCATATCTGCTCTGAAATCTCACATCATTAACGATTTCATGCTTTATTGATATATAAAAAATACTTCAATAAAACTTTTACTGACGAATTTTTGTAGCAACTATCTACGCATTTCGATTGGTATTCAGTTCGTTCTGACCCATTGTAAATAAACAACAGGCCTTTGTACGAAATATTCCGAATTTTGATGCCTCAGTAATCTCGTGGTGAATCTGAAGCTATAAAATGAGTTAGTCGTATGAATTGACATTTGGGTAACAGCGCTATTACAATATACTCCCTCCGTAGATTTTATTGCTTTAAAAAGCTATCTTTAGAGTTTTAATAAAATCCAGAACATATGAAATTGGATTTATACATTTTTCTTGATAATTAACGACAAAAATGCTGAACAATATTTATTAGATGACCTTCGTTATGACACGCATTTTTTTATATTTTCGAGTACGTTTGTTGAACTTTGCCAGATATAATAATTTAAAATCTTGCTAAAACGTAAAAAAAAAAGCTAAAAATTACAAAGATGGTTGACGAGTAGGCGTGAGTTGTCAAGAGGTGCATTAAAAAGGCGAAGTGAGCGTTTCCGGTTTGATCAGGGTAAATGAATGAGGTTATCTTCTTATCAATGTCTTCTCTAAAGATAATAAGTTCTAAAAGGTCCTATCTTGCTGAAGTTATAGGATGTTGAGTCGTCTTGATAGAGAGAAGATGTGTCAACAAGCACAACATGCCATGTCCTAATCAAGTGACAAAAAATGGGATAACGATCAGTAGGTCTTCTTTAAAAGGTATTTACCAGGAGAATTGAAGACTGATTTTCAACTGTTCATTTAATCGACAAATGACATCTATCTATCTATCTATCTATCTATCTATCTATCTATCTATCTATCTATCTACACACACACACACGCAAATATCTTGGTCTGTTCGTACCTATTTATATATCTATTCGTATCTGTCTATCGATCAATCTCTTGGTCACTTCGTACCTCTCTCTCTCTCTACACACACACATACATATATATATATATATATATATTTGTCTGTACGTATCTATCTTTCTACGAGATCATAAGTTCTGTCCGAATTTTAACTTTTTTTTTAAAATGAACGAAATTTAAAGAGTATTTTATAATGTCTAATGGAGCTGAACATTATTTTTATATTTAGATGCATTTAAACTGATCAAATTTTATTTCAGAGAACAATAAAATTAAATTTTGTTTGATTAAAACCCTGCTAACATGGAAGTACCCAAGAATCATTTGAGGCACATAATGCTTTATGAGTTCAAGAAAGGAAACTCAGCAGCCGAAGCGGCTAGAAACATTCACTCAGTTTATGGAGAGGAATGTGAATGAAAGAACTTGCAGAAGATGGTTTGCAAAATTCAGAGGTGGAGATTTCACCCTTGAAGATGAAGATCGAACCGGACGTCCAGTTGAGTTTGATGAAAAGCTTCTTGAAGCAACCCTTGAAGAAAATCCTGCTTTATCAGTTGAGGAATTGGCAGTGGTTCCCAGTTAAAACGATACAACTGTTCATCGTCATCTTCAACAACTTGGAAAAGTTCCTAAACTTGGAAAATGGGTGCCTCATGAATTGTCTGAAAACAACCTCAAATCCTGAGTTGACATCTGCTCTTCTCTCCATTCTCGCCAACTTGTTTCACCTTTTTGGATAGACTTGTGACTGGCGACGAAAAATGGATCTTTTATCGAAATGTTAAGCGTCGTAGACAGTGGCTTGGTAAAGGGGAAGGGCTCCAGCCACAGCCGAGAAGGGAACTTCATGGGTAAAAGGTTCTTCTTTCAATCTGTTGGGATCACCAAGGAATAATCCACTTTGAATTCTTACCACCTAATGCAACAATTAATGCTCAAATATACTGTCAGCAATTAGAGCGTTTGAACCAAGCTTTGAGGAGAAAAAAAACTGCTCTAGTGAATCGAAAAGGGGTGATGTTTCATCAGGACAATGCGCGACCCAACACAGCAAGAATCACGTCACAAAAAATCGAATAACTTGGTTGGGAGAAAATTCCTCATCCACCTTATTCTCCCGATCTTGCTCCTTCAGACTACCATTTTTTTTTCGTAGCTTACAGAATCATTTGGAAGAAACAGCTTTTGTGACACAGGAAGAGGTTAAAACTGACATTTGTGAGTTCTTCGAATCAAAGCCAAAAGAATTTTACAGTAATGGAATTAGTAAGCTTGTTAATACATGGAAGGACGTCATAGATAATCAGGGAAAATACATTGTTGATTGAATCTGTAATTAAATGTAACATTTGGTCACTTGTTTTCTTTATTCAAAATTCGGACAGAACTTATGGGATGACCTGACATCTATCAGTCTGTTCATTATCTATCTATCTATCTATCTATCTATCTATCTATCTATCTATCTATCAGTCTCTTTAGTACCTATCTACCTATCTCTCTATCAATCTATCTATATAATGCTTTTCCAAGCGTAGCTCAAATATGGTACAAGACCGTAAGTATGGGGCACCCAGTGAGGATCGAACTCACTACACAGTCGCAATTGTTCTAGCGAGACAAGCTTGCTTTCAGACCTCGAGGTGCCAATATATAATGAAATAATCTATCTATCTATCTATCTATCTATCTATCTATCTATCTATTATATATATATATATATATATATATATATATATATATATATATATATATATATATATATATATATATCAATGTTCAATTCCACCTCCTCATATTTTCTCTCTCTTTCTATAATGGCCTTGAAGGACAGAGCAAATGCGGGGTAACCAATGCCGGAAACCTCCTTCACAAAGTGATGATGGTGTAATGGCTTGCGTTGAGATTATAATAATAAGTTCTATTTGATGTTAAACTCAAACACGCATTAATTTTGAAGGCACACATAGAGCCATTAACCAAGAAGATATTAAAAGTTTTCAAGAGAAAGATAATATTTATGAACGACTTCGTGTGAAGCATTCTTTTTACACTAACGTTCACCCAATACAAGAACCTTTCATGGTAGAAGGTTATGTAATGTGATGTGTGATATCAACATACAAAAGGTGGCAGAAGAAGATTAAGATTATGAGGATAAGGAGGCTAGATAGTGTTTGACCTTGACCTGATCATGTTAAGATTGTAGTGTGCACGGAAAAATGGGAATTTGTTAGATAAATATAGCAGTTCTTGGGAAAAAGCCGTCAGAATGAAAAAAAAATGCAATGTGGTGGGCATTCGTCTTTTACGGTTTATCAACCTTTTGCAGGTTATTTAAAGTCAAAATATATATTTGGATTGTAATATTTTTTAGAGATAATAGTGATTTATGGACAATAAATTACTAATTAGCTGATAGCTTGTGGGAGAAAAGGTGGATTTATACCTAATCAATTTGATAAACAAACAAGAAATTATGTGGATATAAATTGGGTTGGATCAATTCTCCATTAAAATCAATATATAAACTGATCTCTCAGTTTGTGACCACGGTAGTTTCTATAAATTTATATTCCAGAGAATCTAAATAAATATATAACACACCCCTATGTAGCTAATCAGTATTTGATTGTGTTATGTTCCGCCAATCCTCGACGGAACTGTTATATTCCGAGGTAAGGGAATAAATAAGTAACACCAGGTGGATACTAGAAGAAAGGTTTATTGTACACAACAAGTACAATATGAAATACGGTACAGTTATACCCATAGGTCAATCTAGTAGTGAATGCCACTAACTGGAAGGTCGGACGTGCTTGCATCTTCTCCTCACTCTCTCTCCGTCGTCTCCCCCGTCTCACTTGACTTTATAGGTACTTAGTACCTATAGTGTAATCATTCATGGGGGTGCCGGGTTATTCCATTACATCAGATTGTTTGATTCATTCATTTTCTACGGCTTATCAACCTTTTGCAGGTTATTTAAAGCCAAAAGGATTTTTTTGAGATAACAGTGATAGAATTCTTACTAATTAACACATAGCTGGGAGGTGGATTCGTACCTTTCTTAAGGTTTTTTTTCGCTTAAGTGAATATAACGAACCCAACGGGAATTGAAACACGGATCTCCTATTAACAATTCCGAGCCATTATCCATTACACTAACTGAAAATCTAAGTTTACAGCACCTGGTATTTCCAAGCGCTCATCTATCTTGGTACTGACCAGGCTCGACGTTGCTTAACTTCGCTGATCGTACGGGAACCAATGTTTCAGCGTAATATGACCGTAAGCCATTTGCGATAGAGTAGCGGCAAGCCTGCAACGTTGCGTTTGTGGGAAAGAGGTTGTAGAGTGGAAAACTAGTCATTCATTAGAAGATCGCTCAAACGATTTTCGATTCTATCAAGGTTGCAAATGACCACTCTGCAACTCCAGAATAGACATGGAAGCAATATTCCATTTTTGGTATAATCTGACTTTTCTACAAAATTAATGCATGGTCTGATGTAGAAGCCCTGCCGGCTACAGCTCTGTCCTGTCTCTCCGGTGGTTCTGGCTGAAAAGTAAACCACCCGGTCCTCCCCCGGTGAACTGAAGGAACCACCACTATCCGCCACGTTGTGAATTTTAGATCCGAATAGCAGTATTTCGATCCCTCAGAACGATCCGGAGGTAGGATGAATTAAATGGCTGGGTTCCACGCTGAAAGAAATCGCTATTTGTGCAGACAACGTCCACTTAAGCCCGGCGAAAAGCACTTATCTCGTCTGAGGGCTCTGGCTGGATTTCGCCCGGCAGACCACCCAAAATCCAATTCACCATTTAACACAAGCTTTACCTAACGAACCCGTCCATTAATTACTCTGGAATTAATTCACCTAGTTAATTAATAATTCAATCCCAGAAACAACTAAGTAAAAAGAAAAACTTATTTCTGAAATTACTCCGGAATCCCTTCTACCCAACTAATTAGTACCTTCTTCCCAATCCTTTAGAACCGTTGATTAATGAACCCACCTGGTTTTCTCTCTCTCTGTTACAATGGCAGACGGAATCATATCCATTCTGTAGCGATCCAAGAACATATTTGCCCAGCATTCAGCGAGAAAAACGAATGAAGATCTGAAGAAAAAAGGTTTGAAAGAAACTTGCTTGATGAAATGAACGGCTTATTCACCCGACCGTAACACAATGAAAAACTTGCATCGATTTCTAAAGAGGACGCTTTACATTGGCGGACAGCAATTTACCAGCAAATATTAACTTAATACTATTCTGAAGTCTGGTTTTCATAACGGTAAGCATTATGAAGTGAATCCTATTCTTCTAAGTGCGATCATGGCTCTCCACAATTTCCTTCCCTTTGTGGTTCTTAATAAATCGTGTCTTCTTTTTATCTCTCCTTTACTCAAAATCGCTAATGTAGGTTATACTTTGTTTTCATCTATTCAGTTTGCCTTTAATCTGCCTTGTGAGTATCCAATTTTCCAGCCCCTCTTTTTTATTATGTGCCCTAGAACAGAGATAGAGCGTATGTAAATATAAAAGTGGACACTGAAGTCAACACGAAGCGGCAATAATCTGTTTCATCTTAAAACACAATCTTCAGCTGATGTGTGTTGTGTTTTGGTTTAAATATTTATATATACTGGCCAGTGGTGCATTATGGGTAACGAGGTCTATTGTATTTACATTTTCTCTAAACTTTGTCGTTGCTCCCATGTTCGTTCCATGCTATTCTCAGCATCCTTCTGTAGAACAACAGTTCTGCTGCTTCAAGTCTCTTCTTCATCTGTGATGAGATTGTCTAGCACTCCCTGTCACATAGGAAAACTGATTACGTGACAATTCAGTACTCTTTTCTTAGTTTCGAATGAAATTTTTCTGTCTCCTCATACTTTGCTTAGCATTTGGAAGGCATCTTTCGTTATCTTAATGCATCTTCGGATTTCGGTGTTGCACTTTCTTCCTCTGTTAAAGCCCTTTACAGATATTCAAATTGTTGTCCAATTTGTAATTCACATGTTGGTCTGTTCCTATTGCTAACAACCACACATTTTGTTTTCTTGCTATTAATGTTTAGTCCTTTCTTCTTTCTTTCCTTCACTACCTTCTGTGGACGTTTTTTTCGTTTCATTTCTTTGTCTGCTCTCAACACTTCCATTTGCATTATGTTTCTAACTTATATAGCGCATTCATGAACTCACTGTAATAGTAATTATCGCCTCGGCTAGCTTGATAACCGTTACTCCATAGAAATTATATTATATATATATATATATATATATATATATATATATATATATAATAATATTTTTTGTTTAAAAATATAGTCATCCATAGACAGACTGTTTCGCTGTATCACAGCTTCTCAGTGTGTCTAGACGTCCGATTGCTTCAAGCCAAGATCAAAACGCGACCGATTTCGCATCAGTCGGAGTTTCTACCCCTAGGGTATCGTCGCAAGACAGAGAGAGAAGTAAATTTTAACGCTTTCCTGGACGAAATATCCAGTGGTCCGGAGAGCTCAATTCAGTTGAAGAGCAATGCATTAATATCTGTATGAGCCACTGTTTTTAAAATCACCCTTTTTCTCAAGAGAGCTTAACCGGATTTCCCAGGAGCATCTGACACAAGGATACATTGTGTGGAGCGCCACGTGAGAATCGAAGTTTATATAGTCTGCTAAGGTGTTAGCTAACCATTGCACTATCTACTGTAAATCCCCAAACCGGAAGTCCTTGACATTTTTAAAAATGAATTAAACTTATGGAAGTGATATTTTGTGCTTCAGAGTTGATGGTTGTGAAAAGATCAGTTGGTAGACCTTAATTCCGTTGCTCTAACCATTCGGCAATTTTCTGAGTGGTTTCATTTCAAATATACCGGTCAGGGCAGACAGGACTTGCAAGATATTGTCGCTCCAAGCCGATAAATTTTGTCTTACGTGTCAGATGGGCATATTTAATTATCTTTTAATTATCTTTTATCAAATTGACCGCTTTAGATGCAAGTAATTATTTATTCATTCTATGTCAAAATGGCTGTCAACAATTAACCACTATTTTTTTAATCTCAGTTCTTTCTTTGTTTTCTTCCTTTTCTTTCTAGGTTTCGTTTCGTTTCTTTCTTTCTTTACTCTCTCCTTTTCTGTCTAGGCTTCGTTTCTTTCTTTCTTTCTTTCTTTCTTTCTTTCTTTCTTTCTTTCTTTCTTTCTTTCTTTCTTTGCTTCGTTTCTTTCTTTCTTTTTTCCCTTTTTTTCTACTACTTTCTTCCACATTCTTTCCTTTCTCTCATTCATTATACCTTTTCTTTATTCTTTAATTTTTTGGTGGTGCGGGGAATTTTTTAGTTTTTCTTTTTCATAAAAAAACTTTCTTTTTTTCCGGATCTTCGTTTACATTAATTTAGAAGTTCTTTTTTTTGCTTATGTCTGGTGACGTGGTATATATATATATATATATATATATATATATATATATATATATATATATATATATATATATATATATATATCAGTGACGGTGCAAAATGCAAATTGTGTTGGTCCATTAAAACAAATATGGTAGACTTATTGAAAACTGGAACAAATACGAATAGTGAGATTGGCAAATACGATCTTACCTATTTGCATAGATTCTTTATAGGATAAATAGAATGTTTAGTAAAGAGTCAGACGACAGGAAGTTGTCTACTGATCACGTGTTGTAAAACAACACTATACAACAATATGGCGTCGCCGATATCATGTTTAAGTCGCTTGGACGAACCAGAAGTTGTCGATACTTTTACTCGGTGTTTTGCAACCCAGGTAAGAGCTAACAAATTAAAAGATAGCAAGGGGAGAAAATGAAATAACCGACCCCTTTTTAGTTTCGGCAGGTTGTGAAGCTATAACGAAAATTTCTGTTATGGCATAACACAAAGAATTGCAGGATTTGACTTTCGACGAAATTTCGGAAATTATAAAAAGAAATTTATAACCTAAAAAGAAACTCGTCATAACGGAAAGGCCCAAATTTATGTCCAATAAACAGAAACAAGGTGAATCAATTATGTAATATCTGCCTCGTCAGTTATGTATCACGCATGTCACATGACTGACTGATTGGTATGTTGTTTATTTGCATAGGTTCGTTATAGGAGAAATAAATTATAGAGTAAAATGTCAGACAGGAGAAAAGTTAACAACTGATCACGTGTCATAGAACAATTCTATACAACACTTCGCTGATGAGATATTTAAGTTCCTTCGACGAACCAGAATTTGGATCCGGCGTTTGTTTTTTTTATAACTCAGGCGAAAGACAGTAAGACAAGAAAAGAAAATGAATTAACCCACCTCTTCCTAGCTTCAGCAGGTTATGCCATACCCTAAACAATTGACTTCCGTCGAAATTTCGGAAATTATAAAAAAAAGTTTACGATGTAAAACGAAAACTTAGCCGAAAAAAAAACAAACAAAAAAAAACAAACAACAAATTTATGACCATTAAACAGAAACAAGGTGAATCAATTATGTAATATCTTCCCAGATTAAGGGAAGCAAACAGATTCTGCGAGTTTCGGGATCTGGGAACTCAAGATTTGACTACAGAGAACAAATTGATTCCATTAAAGTTGATTGAATGTATGGTTGATATATCATCATAAATATAAGATATTGGAACAATTACAATAATTTGTCTGTAACTGCATGTGTGGAAGTTATACAATATCTGGAATTAATAACAAATATATATTTCTATTGAGGACAATGTTGAAAGGTAGAATATTAAAAAGGAACGCAAGAAATATGAATAATATAAGTAATAGCACGAAACAGACTGAAAAAGGTGCCCCACTTTTAGAAAAAATGACCAGAACTGCGGAAGAAAAGTTATTCAATGACGTAAGGAAGAGAATTCTTTTGCAAAAACTAAATTCAGTAGCATGACTTTTCCAATTCAAGCGGATACGGGGAGCGAGGTCTCTCTAATCGCAAGAAATTTCTGGAAACAAATGAATAAACCGAAATTGCGAAATAATCATCTGAAATTGAGACACAATTCGTTGGATCTTTTATAACAAATTTGGGATACTTTAATTAAACTTTTGAAACCTGTGACGCATTTGAAATTATTTCTATGACAGCAGTGGAATGTAAAAAAGTCAATGACATGTCGGAATAGACATTATAAAGGTGGATACGTTGAAATTAATCAATAGTATAAAAACAGAAAACGTAAAAACTGGAGTGTTAAAGGGTTTATAAAACGAGCATACAATTAAAAGAAAATTGTACCCACCTCCTATTTTGAATCCTCTAAATTATCTATTCACCTTCTACTTTTAGTAGTTGCTAAAGTAAAGAAAATGGTAGAGGTGGGTAAATTTAGAGCCTCTCCCATTGTAGTTTTGTGACTCTCCGATGGAAACTTAAGAATATATGATGATTTCAAAATAGGTGTAAATCATAAAATATGCTCGGATTCGTTTACTTTTTCCAATATCGAAACCGCTGTCCACAAATTATCGGGCATTAAATATTGTGTAAAAATTGATTTTTAAAATCTATCTACAGTCAAATGCAGACTGATAATCAATTCAATGAAATTACCACAATAAACACCACATAGGATTATTAAGATGGATGAGAATGCCTTTTGGAGTGAAATCGACAAGTTCCACTTTTCAGAAAGCAATGGAAAACGTGTTCACTGATGAAATGAGTAACAGGATTATTTATCAAGATGAGATTTGCTTCGGTGACACCATTAATGACGAATTAAACAAACAAAAAAAAAAAACGTGTTAAAAAAAAGTTTTTAAAAAATGCTGGGATGGCCATAATTAAAGACAAATGTGAATTCAATTGCAATAAAATAGTATATTTATGATCTCAGATTTCAAAAGATGGTATTGAACCAGATCCATAGTTAATTAAGAAAATTTCAGAGGCATTTATACCTACTAATAACAAAATGAATTGGAATTCTTTTTAGGATTGGTAAATTTTTATAATAGGTACCTAAAAAACATAGCGACTTAATAGAGTCATTTTCTAAATTGCGTAAAAAGAATATTGAGTTCAAATGGACTCAAGGGCAAAACTTAGCATTTGATGATTTAAAAATGATACTCGCAGATTTAAACCGATTGTAAAATTGTTTGATCTGAAAAAGAAGGTTACCTTAACTAAGGATGCAGGTGAATGAACTGTATCGGCAATTTTATCGCAAGAAGGCCATCCAATAATGAAGCTTTCAAGAAGATTGATGGCTGCAAAAATAAATTATTCAAATACTGAAAAAAAGCCATTGTCTGGAGTACAGAATAAGCTCGATAATTTTTATTAGGTAAGAAGTTCCTATCAAAGTCGGGCCATAAACCTCTAGAATTTATTTTTAAATCTAGAAAGGAGTTACCAAATGTTACATCTTCCAGAATTCTAAGGTGGGCAATAAAATTAATGGCATATGATTTTGACATTGACTATGTAAAAGGAACTACAATATAAGATGTCAATGCGTTGTTACAGTTTAATAAGGATGAAAAAGAAAAAATTGAAATCCCGGATGAAGAAATATTACACTGGGCTGAAACTGACATATTATCTCTACAAAGATTGGCATCGGAAATTCTATATGTTCCGATATTACGCGAGATTACTGAGTGAAGAAACATGTGGAGCCTAAAGCTGAAACACGTTATAAAGAAATAAGACATAAATGAACTATAAGAAATGGTGTTATATGCAATGGAGATGCGATAATACCACCAGAAACAGTAAGAAGTGATATTTAAAAAATGTACATGCCGATGTTCATTATGGGACAAAAGGAGATAATACGAGATTAAAATTGGAGGTATGGTGGCCGATGTATTATCGCGACATAGAAAAATATGTAGGTAAATGCCCAAAATATGCAGAAATAAAGAATTTTCGATAAAGAAGAATACACTTATGGCCTAAAGAAACGGAACATTGGTCTCATGTGTCATATCGACCATGCACACATTAATGGCATGGAACTATTTCCAAGAAGTAGATTCCTTCTTTGGATGGCATGAAGTCGTTAAAGTTAAAGATAAAAAGTCAATGACAATAAAACAAATATTAAGAGGGATATTTTCTAGAAGACAAAAAAGTAATTTCATCATGCAAAAGCGGGCAGAATACAGCCAGTATATCAAAGAAAGGGAAAAACCTAATGGCCTGTTCTGAGCAAATAAGACACAGAACTACAGACGAAGATATCGTGATAGAGGAAGATCTTGACAAAGAAGAAAGGATGAGTCCTTCAGATCAGGAAAATGTAATAGAAAACGAGTCTATGAATGATAGCGGGAGTCAATCAGACACGGAAGTAGATGAGATAAGATCAAGATCCCCATTAAAAAGAACAGGGCGTAAATCTCAGGATGGGGATACAGGAGGAAAGAGGCCCGGGAAGTTGAAAAACAATGAAAGGTATTAAAACTCGGTTCGGAGAGATGTAGTGGATTGATAAATGGGATTTTACTTATTTGCATGTTGGTTACAGGAGAAATTAAGTGTAGAGTAAAGAATTAGACGAGAGGAAGTTGACTACTGATCATGTTTCGTAGAACAACACTATACAACATATTAAATATAGAAAATGAAGGAGAGAAAGACAGAAAAAGTTTAACAGAGATAGATAGATAGATAGATAGATAGATAGATAGATAGATAGATAGAGTGAGATTTTCAATACAGTGAGATTTATGAATAGATAGATATGGACAGAGATAGATGGATAGATAAATATGAACAGTCCGAAACAGATAAATAGATAGATAGATAAATAGATAATGTGAGTGATAGATTGTACTACTACTACTACTACTATATATCCGTTTATCTCGTGAGATAATGCTATCGGCCATTTTGATCAAAATACAACCCTTTGGTGACGAGACTAGAATGTCTCTTCTCTAGGGCACAGTCCTTGTGTTGGTGTATGAGGGTTGTGAGCTGCCCTGATCCCATCCTCAATCTCGGCCGTAACGACAATATCCCAAGGGACAAAAGGCATTACATTGTGTTCTGGCAAGGATGCAGGTGTTGTCCGAAGTTTGTCAGTATTGACAGCCAATCACTTTGTGTGCTCCTTGTCGGATTTCTGTCTGCATTTATTTTCATAGCCAATTCGGTGTTTGGTTACAGGCGCGAGACAGTGGAGGTTCCCTTCCCGCTTCATGAACTGCCTTCCTGGTTTGATGTGCTTTCATCTCTACGAAGGAATTGGTCATGAGGTGCCAGCAGTTCTCCTTCGCTTCGGTTTGCTGTTGCACTTTGTTGTCAGACGGATTCCATGAAGCTTTTATGAATATATATATATATATATATATATATATATATATATATATATATATATATATAAATAGATAGATAGATAGATAGATAGATATGAAGTGGTTGAGATAGATATGAACAGATTGAGATACAAAGAGATACATATAAACAGACCGTGATAGATAGATAGGTAGATAGATAGATAGATAGATATGTACAGATTGAGAGAGATAGAGATAGATATGAACAGTCTGATATATATATATATATATATATATATATATATATATATATATATATAGAGAGAGAGAGAGAGAGAGAGAGAGAGATAGATAGATAGATAGATAGATAGATAGATTGATAGATAGATAGATAGATATGAACAGGTTGAGATTGATATGAACAGACTGAGATAGATAGATAGATATAAACAGGTTGAGATAGATATAAACTGAGATAGATAGATAGATAGATAGATAGATAGATAGATAGATAGATAGATATGACCAGACTGAGACACATAGATATGAACAGACTGAGATAGATAGATAGACAGATATATAGATAAATATGAACAGATTGAGATAGATAGATAGATATATATATATATAGATAGATAGATAGAAACAGGTAGATAGATGAACAGGATGAGATAGATTGATAGATGGATAGATAGATAGATGATAGATAGATATAGACAGGGATGAGATAGATAGATAGATAGATAGATAGATAGATAGATAGATAGATAGATAGATGTAAACAGGTTGAGATAGATATGTACAGATTGAGATACATAGATATGAAGAGGTTGAGATAGATATGAACAGACTGAGTGATAGATAGATAGATAGATAGATAGATAGATAGATAGATAGATAGATAGATAGATTTTGGTAACACTATTAAATACATATTGTTTCCATTTTCAGAAAACTACCAAAATGGTGAAAGTCGTTGGTATAATTGGCACTGGAGATTACGGCAGGGCACTGGCCAAGCGTCTACTTCGTTGTGGTTATGACGTCATCATGGGCAGCCGAGATCCTGACCACACACGTCTAACCCAAATCGATGAGAGATTGGCCTCCGTAAAAGTCAAGAGCAGAAAAGAACTTCTCGAAGACTCAAACATCGAAATCGTCTTCCTTGCAATTCATGCATGGAATTTCGAATCCAGTCTCTCGTCTTTCAGAAACCAAATCCAAGACAAGATCTTCATCGATATATCGAATCGGGAACGACTAAGCAGAACTGAATCGAACGCTGAAAAATTGCTTCACGCTTTTCCTGGCCTGCGGGTCGTGAAAGCCTTCAATACCCTGTCTGCCTATGCCTTGGAAAGCGACACTTTTGGAGGCGCGAAACAGGTCTTGATTGCAAGCGACGACACGACGGCCAGGGAAAAAGTGTCGAGTTTGGCGCGTGAAATGGGATTCACACCCGTTGACTATGGCGTCTTGAGTGCATCCAGAGAGATCGAGGCTTACCCGTTGACGTTCATGGTTGGTTGGAGTTGCCCTACTTTATTTGTGTTTTTTGTATTCCTATTTTGGACACTCATCTGTATCTATAACCGTTATCGTAATGATAAAAAATCTTCAAGTCATTTCACGTGGGACAATATTCCTCTTGATTTTGTCAATGAACCAGTCGCTCTGACAGCCATCACGCTTTTGTCTGTATCTTATTTGCCTGGTTGTCTTGCAGCTTTTATACAAATGGCCAACGGTACCAAATACAGACGCTTTCCGAACTGGTTCGATCAATGGCTGAAATCACGAAAAATGTTGGGACTCTACGCTTTGTTTTTCAGCGTCTTTCACGTCATGATATCTGGAATAAACATGTCACCGGGTTTTATGAAATGGTGGTACACCGGAAACCATATCCAACTTCCGCATAACGCTAGCGACTTTCAATTTACAATTATTGCGAGGATGAACTTCAACGGAGAACTAACTATTCTCATTGGAATTGTAGCTCTTCTACTGATGAGCCTACTGGGTCTCTCGTCGCTACCATCTGTGGGATCGCTTATGAATTGGCGCGAATGGCGGTTTGTGCAAAGCCACTTGGGATATGTCACTCTCTTTCTGGTCACTTTTCACGTCTGCTTTCCCGTTTTTTCTGTTTGGTTAAAGGACTCGATTAGTTTCATGACGGATGCAAATTTTCTCGCATGCCTCCTACCGGCATTGGTTCTGTTGATGAAACTGATTTTGATTATTCCTTGCATTAGCCATTACGTGGACAAGATACGAAGTGGATGGGAACGTACCCCACCCTATCAAATACTTTCTGATGCTAACAATGAAGTATAAAACTTTTTATACACTATTCACATTAATCGGACTATTGTCCTCATCTTTGTCGCCATATTTATTACAACGCTCCGGCCTTCTTTAGGTGGTTGGAATGTCGAACTGAACCCTTTATTTCGCTCACTGGGGTAGACTGTTCTAGTTTCACGTACCATGTTCAATGGATGTCAGTTATCATTTATCTCCTGTTAATTCCCCTCTCTACAAAAATTGCAATATGAGCTCTGGTAAAAACATGCAATGATAACAGGAAAAATTGCAATATGAGCAGTGGGAAAAATGGTTCGTGAAAGATTAAGTTTATGATACCCAGAAATTCATACACAGATATCCTCAAGGACAGTGGATAAAGGCGTTGGTTAGATCCAGTGACAGGACCCAAAGAGTGTGAGTTCAATACCCGGTTAAGGCAATGGAGAACTTGGAGAGGGGAATTAACAGGAGATAAGTGACAAGTGACATCCATTAAAAAAAAAAAAAATACAAAACATGGCACGTGGAGCTAGAACAGTCTACCCCGGTGAGCGAAATAAAGGGTTCAGTTCGACATTCCAACCACCTGAAAAAGGCCGGAGCGTACAACGGCCGAAACGTTGTAATAAATATAGCGACAAATATGATTAATGTAAGTAGTGTATATAATACCTCATCTCAGAAATATAGACAGAAAACTTTTTATGGCTGGTATTTAATTGAGAAATATTCAGATACCGGTGTTCATTATATTCCAGGCATTACCGTAGTCATTTACCTCATTGTTGTTCTATTTTTTGTTGTTGACTTCATTCTAGCGATGTCGTTTATTTATTTATTTTTTTTTAAATACTTTTCATTCTGGTACAAGGACATGCAGAATGATGTAAAATTAGTCTTTATTGTTTTAAAAAGCAGGATTTATTAAGAGCCAGGAGATGAAATTCGATTTATACATTTTTCTCGAGAACTGACAACAAAAATGTTAAACATTATTTATTTATTCGATTGCCATCCTTATGACACGTAATTTTGTAGGCACGTCAAATGCTTAATAATTTAAAAGCTTTCAAAAAGTAGAAGAAAGATGAAAATTACAAAGCTGTTTGGCAAGTAAACATTGAACCGCGAAAAAAGTTCACTGAAGATCCGAGGAAAGTGTTTCAGGCAATGGTATAGCCAAATGGAGGGTTTTATCTTGTCGATACAAAAACATGCAAAATTATATAAAATTAGTTTTCGACATGCTAGTCGATTTTCAAGAAGCACTCCATAATAAAACTCTATCGTTTGCGAGAAAGTTAATAGATTCCACTAGTGAATTGGAATCAAGAAAACTAATGCATAAAACCGCCACCCCCCCCCGGAGCCCCGCTTAACAAACCTGGACTTACGACCAGCATTACAATTAAAATGCAATTACAATTAAAATACAAATACAATTAAAGTGCAAATACAATTGAAATACAAATACAATTAAAATATAAATACAATTAAAATACAAATGCAATTAAAATGCAAATACAATCAAAATACAAATATAATTAAAATGCAAATACAATTAAAATATAAATACAATTAAAATGCAAATACAATCAAAATACAAATATAATTAAAATGCAAATACAATTAAAATATAAATACAATTAAAATGCAAATACAATTAAAATACAAATACAATTAAAATGCAAATACAATTAAAATACAAATACAATTAAAATGCAAATACAATTAAAATGCAATTACAATTAAAATACAAATACAATTAAAATGCAAATACAATTAAAATACAAATACAATTAAAATGCAAATACAATTTTAAAAAATCCAACCAGTCAGTATTTACGCTGTCTGAAAGCTTTCATCACGATTGTTTTTCTTTGTTCAAAATAAATAAAATGAAAAAAATAAATTGACTTGTACTGTATTTATTTCTTTCCACAATGCAAACCGAATTAATGGACAGAATATATATATATATATATATATATATATATATAAAAAAAAAAATATAGAGGCTGATTTACAAATTTTTGATTACGTTTACTGTTCGCATAAAATATTGTTTTAAATTTCAACCCGCCATTACTGTATAGCGATCTTCTGAGCGTCGTTTAGATAGGGTACATGGCCGAAAGTATTAAGCACCAAGTAAGGATCGAACTCACTTGTAATTCCACTTGCGCGACAAGTCTGCTAACCATTGCACCATGTCGAGTTGCTCTGGTTGCATTGTATATTGTGCAGGATTTTAGACCTAGGTTGTTTCCTTTTTCATCAACATATATCAGACGAAGTAAAATGATTTGCACTATTTACATCGTTGTCCTCATCTCTGTTGCCATATTGACGACGTTTCTATCGTTGTACGCTACGACCTTCTTTAGGTGATTGGAATTTCAAACTGAACCCTTTATTTCGTCAACCGAGGCAGATTGTTCTAGTTCCACGTGCCGTGCCTCTCACGGGTGGCTCAGTTATCTCCCTTAAATCCGACGAAATAGAAGACTCAGACATAGCGGGCCACATATGGAGGGAAAAGGGAGATCACCGCCCCGTGTGAGATGAGGCTGAAATAATAAACAGAGATCATCACTGGAAAATACGAAAACTTAAGGAATCAGCACATATGGTAGGCCACAAAAATCTCCTAAGCCGGTCAAGCATAGAAATGAATACAATATGGGAACCAGTAATAAGGAGTGCCAGAGAATAGCGATAATAACAACATAATTGCAATATGAGGTTTGGTAAAAAAAGTTTAATGAGAGATTAAGTTTATAAGTCCCCCAAATTCATACACTTATGTCCCCTTGGACACATGGCCTAGTGGATAAAAGCGTTGGTTAGATCGAGTGACTTGACCCAAACAGTTGTGAGTTTCTTGCGGGCCTGTGTACGCGTTAAGAGATAAACACGTGTGTCTCCTGAAATGTCACAAGAAACATGGCAAACTCAGGATGTGAGTCCACTTAAAAAATGAAATGTAAAAAAAACAAAAATAATATATATATATATATATATATATATATATATATATATATATATATATATATACGCAAACAAATGATAATGTTGTTGGGGACGTCGTGATTGTTAAACGTATCAGAAGGATTTGTTATTAATGGTTGCGTGTTTGACCGCGTCCCAAACAAATATACAAACAATCGTGATATTTCAAACAAGGAAAAAACGAGACATATATAGATCAAAACAATACAACATTTATATACAATTAAACATTTACAAACTGGAATAATATTTGTATGAGTTGCGTGCGTAAATTGTATGTGTATGCTGAAATGGTTAATGTCTCTTGTATCGTAATGTTTGCTATTTTCTTGTTTGTATCAAAGATTGTAATAATAAAATTAAGAGTTTTTCGCAAAAGAGTTTGTCAAAGTAGTCTACCCTTAATCGTATTTGTATTTGTATTCGCTTTCGTATTTCTTATTTTTGTAATGATTATAAATCAATATGCATAAGAAATTAAGTGAAAAGTTTCAAGAGTCGTACGTCGAATGTTCGAAGTGAGTCAGTGAATGTTCTTTGAAAAGCGCGGCAAAATTATGGTTCGAAACGTCGTGGAGTATTTAGGCAATTGCTCGGTGAGTTAGCTAGACTGACTGAATGGAGTTGGTAATTTTCTTTATCGTCTGGTCAGCGATGACTAAGACGGGAGTCGGTGAAATGTTACATCTTGACAGCTACTCGGCTTCTCCGCTTCTGCTGAATGAGGCTGTCTGCTTTTCCTTTTTATAATATTTGGGTTTCCAAAAGTGGCTCAACTCGTTTTGGCGCAATTCCTGTTTCAGAAAACGATTGACCAATGGAATTGCTTGATTCGATTCTCGCCATTTCTATTGGCTGAGGTTTTTTTGTACGTAGGCGTACGATGTGGACTGTGCCTTTTTTAGGTTAGAAAAGGTGAGGATATTGGAAGAGTCCACAATGTATTAACAACAAAATGGTTACAAGTGACAAAGACAATAATGTGTGTGCAATAAATGAATGTGGAAACTTTTTGTCCAAAGTATGTGTAGTGAGTGAATGCGTGTACGTATGTATTGTTCATGTGTTTCCCCCCAAAAAGGGAAAACGCTATCTTCTGCGAGAGATTTACATGTCGTATAAGCGGGAAAGTAACAAGAGAGTGATAAAAATTATCGCAGAGTATTTATAATACTTGAGAGCGTCCCCCAGAAGCAGTTTCGAAAATTAGGAGGAAATACCTCGACAATTCAATACCTGGCTACTGTAGTGGTGAAAAACCTCCCACATTTAAAAAGCTGGCAAAAAGACCAACGTAACTACTATAAAAAAACAAAGAAAAAAAAAAAAACAAAAACAAAAAAAAACCAATTTACTCTTGTTTAAACAAAGGGCTTAGGTTTTATTCATCTGGTTTTAAAAATGACATTCTTCATATGTTGGCTTCTGTCTGCTATACAGTCAGACGTTAAAGACCATTACCAACATTCACGCAAGTACGAACTCTGAAATCTCTTCTGAACTTTTACGAACTTGTACAATACACAATTCCAAACATGCTAAAGAAACTTTATTCTTCTAAACTGCAGTTTAATTACTTTCACTTTATGAACTTAGGTACAAATATTACCTCATCTAAGAGACACAATTCTGTCTAACCTTTTTTTCACTCAATATTCTTGCATGTATATCAAACACTAATAAATTCAATTGTTACGTTTTGAAACAAGATGTCTATGAATCTTTATTCTCATTCTTGTATTAATTGTTGTGGATGGAAGATTATTGAACACACACAATTTTAAACCTTTTGATAATTCAAACCTTCTATTCCTCTCCAACACACATCACACATATCCGCAACAAG